TATGCGGTCGGAGATGCTTCCTTCTGTATGTTACATACTTTGCACAAACCTAATATACCCTTTTTACCCTACGGGTACAGGGTATAAAAAAGCTTGGACAGACGGACTCGTCTTGCCATGCTAATCAAGAATATCAGGGGTGCAACAGAAAACTCCGGTGGTTTCGACTACAGTTGTTTTTGAAAACTCCCAAAAAATTCGTCGGTGCCACAGAACTTGGAAAGATTTCACTTTTTCGAACTTCCCCTCCAAGCCAGCTGTCAGCAACAGCTGACTAGCGACGAGTACATTAGACCGACTAATTGTGTTTAAATTCTTTAACGTACTATGTTAAATAGAAAACAAATATGCCATTTGCATTAATATTAGCCCGTGAGCGTTTGCGGGAACGCCAATTAATTGAAATATAATAAAATAAAATAAATTAATAAAATTAAAAAATACAACACAAATGTTTAAGAAGCGCTTCTGATCCCACAAAAGAATGTTGCTTATTAAAAATTTATGTTACATTTCTTATATCAACATCATTTGTTTTGCAAAAATTAGCATTTGAAATTGAATTTAGAAATTACAAAAATGTACTTACATTTGGTTTCCCTGGTCCGTATTGTATATTTAAGTGGCAGTTTATTCATATTTCATGTCAACAAACAGACTTGCCCAATCGGCGACACATAATTTTCGCCAAGTTTGTCTAATTAATACATAGTAATGTGGCACATATTTGAAACAAGAATTGCGTCAATTATATATTTTATTTTGAACTTTCGTTTGACTCACAACTTTAGACTGAACTCAACAACTGATCTCGCAGCTTGTACTTTTGTTATTTGGGCGGTAAAATGAAAAAAAATTCTTGTACTTTACAGTAAGTTCAGTAAAGAACTTTTGCCTGATTAAAATTATATTTTACTATTTACACATACTCGGTATGATTACACCTAGCCCTCGCTTAACGCTAACTCTTTTAATGCTAACGCGATTGCAAAATTGCTACCTTTTCTCTTTTAATGCGGTGAAATACCTCGTTCTAACGCGATTGACAATAAAATGGTATAACGTAATTTATACAAATTGCAGTTTCTACATGGCAACAAAAGAAAATAAGCCATATAAGCAGAGCTGCTATGAAGCTTTAAAGCTAGGTACACATGATGCAAACAATTTGCAGCAAGTTGAAAATAATTTGCAGCAAAAGTTTGCACAAATGCTTAAGCTAGGTGCACACGATGCAAACAATTTGCAGCAAGTTAAAAATAATTTGCAGCAAAAGTTTGCACCAATGTTTACACCTATGCAAATATTGCAAGAAAATTTCTTGCTGCAATCAATTTTTGTTTTGCATGCAAACTTTTGCATGGCTATTTCGTGCAATATATTGCGTCAATGTCTACACGTGTTTTCATTTCTTGTTTGCAGTGCTTGCAAGTGACACTCATTTGCAAGTTCTGTTGTTTTGTGAAAGTCAAGGAATAACGACGTGTTTATATCAGCGGTGGGCACGAAATGTTAAATCGGGAGCCCTACAACATTCCCATTGAAAAGATACATTATGAAACCATATCCATTCAGAAATCAACCAGCTCCAAATTGTGTTTTTAACTACCGTCTTTCCAGAGCAAGAAGAGTGGTAGAAAATGTTTTTGGCATAATGGCAAATTGATTTCGGGTTTTAAAAAAACCATTGGAACTTGGGCCAGAAAAGACAATAGATGTTGTATTTGCAATTTGCGCATTACTTAACTGGTTGATGGCCAAGAAAGAGTCAAAACAAAAATATGCTCCGAATGGAACATTCGACAATGAAGTGGATGCAGAAGTGGTACCAGGTACTTGGCGTAACGATCTGACGTTAGAAGGAAACTGCATACCAATTCAAAGAAGTACGCAAAACTCTACTGAAGCAAAAGATATACGTGAAGAATTTAAAAATTTTTTTGTTTCGCCTGATGATGAATATACTGTACTACTTAGTTGGGTACTACTAACTTGGGTAAGCAATAACTGGTTGTGAACAGCCCTCAACGAACACTGACACCAGTAATTGACACTAGTAATTTTTTCCGTAATCTTTTAGTGAAACTAAATCAACCATACAACATGTTCGGGTATTTGCCGAATGGGATCTGTCGCACTTCGGCTAACGCAGTCGTGCTCTCATTTTATTCAAAATATCAACAATACTACTGTCGATTATATTATAAAACTTAATATAACATTTCATTCGCAGAGAGGCAGTAAACAGTGACGGTCGATCTGTGCCGCTTATGTTGTATTGTTAGTGCTTGAAGTATATGCAGCGATTACGCTGCACACAATCGTTTTCGAGTCATTTGTTCCAATTATAATGAGCTTTCTCATTTACTTTCAACAGAACTCTCTCTTTATTCTATAAAAGTTCTTCTTTATAGTTATCTCCGTGGAAATCTCTGACCACATACTGCTGTGAGTCGGGGCATAGCTGGCCGGACTGGCTTAAAACTTTCCCCCACCGGGTTGGAGATTTCCCCCTTTCTCCTTTTGTCTTTCTTGTTCCATCTTTCTCTGTCCCTGTTTCTCTCTTGCCCTTTCTCTTCCTCTTCCTTTCTCTCCCTCTTTACCTCTGTCTCTTTCTACTCCTTACTTTTTATAGCCTGTACCCAAAGGGTGAAAGGCTATACTAGTTTTGTGCGCATGTATGTAACACACAGAAGGAGGCGTGGCAGACCCCACAAAGTATATATATTCTTGATCAGGATGAGAAGCCGAGTCGATATAGCCTTGTCCGTCCGTCCGTCTGTCCGTCTGTCTGTCCGTCTGTCTGTCCGTCTGTCCGTCTGTCCGTATGAACGCAAGGATCTCAGAAAGTATAAGAGCTAGAATAACCAAACTTGGTTTCCATATTCTCCTAAGACCGAGAAAGTACGAGTTTGAGTTTTAATTCGATGCACCCCCCCACTCCCCCGCAATTCGTGTTTTTTCTTATAACTTCCGTAATTCTCGGAATTTTGAAATCAATTTTGGTAGGTACATCCAGTTAGTACTAATGTGTCCGTGTGCCAAATTTCATCATGATAGGTCAATTCTGAAGAAAGTTATAGCCATAAGTAAAATCGCTGCTCATGCGCTGCCTCTGTCGGCAGCGCTGCCCGCAGCTGTTGTTGTTGTTGCTGCTTTGGTTCAACTTTGTGCTGCATACATACACGCATATAAACACACATAGGTACGTGATGTAAATGTATGCTGTTAAAACTAAACATAAACATATATTCTAATTTAATTTAATTAATTAATTCATTAATTTTTTTTAATAATTTAATTTTTTTTTTAAATTTTTTTTTTTTAATTTTTCTTTTTTTGTGGAGAGTACAGGCTATTTTACTGTCGGGCTTGCTCGACTGTAGCGTTCTATCTTGTTCTAATTAGAGAGAGAGACTATGTTATATTAATCATATTTGAATTTTTAATTTTAAATCTTAATATATATATAAAATGTTAATACTCATAAGTATATTGTTATTGAATAAATCGACAGATCCACTTGTTGATTTAAATAAATAAATAAATTTAACCGGATGCCCTCACACAATTGTGGAGCTGGGCATGCATTTTGTGGCAAACATTCCTTGGTGTGGGCAAACGACAAACTCAGCGACAGCCTCAAGTGCCATTTTCCTGAGACAATTCGCCTGCATTTGCTTATAGCTGCGGCTTCATTTTCTTAGACAACTTTGCAGACGAGTCGCGTTGCTGGTTGTGTTGGTTGTTTGTTGTTGGCAGCGGCCCTTCGCCTTTGGCAGGATTCTCATACACTTGCACCACAGTGGCCACTCATTACCGCCGCAAAAGTTTTTGGCCACCAATGCAGGCGGTCCAGGCAGTCGGGCGAGCACAATGGTCTGTTTGATGAAAATTTGTTTCAAAACTCAATCGATTTGCCAGCCAATGCACCAGATAAATATTACAGTTCACATCACAGAACACAAAGCATTTGATAAATCAATTGAGATCTCTCTTTGGTGTTTTCGGCTTTCATGAAATTGAATGATAAAAGTGAAGCAGCATTTAGTGAAGATCCTGCTTATGTTTTAAGCATTAATACAGGCTGTATCAAGACCTGTTTTCTTTGAGTTTAAGGATCACTATTAAAGAGTAATTATGAAGGTTGCCCATAGATTAGAACATCTACAAGTATAGTGGAATGAAGTCAACTTATGTTTGAAAGCTACGAGTGTGCTTTTCTCAACGAAAACATCCAGAATGGACCACTATGTGACAAAGGAATGGAAGTCGGAGCACTTTTGAGACAGGCATCTCATGGGCATCGAATTATGACACTTTTAGTGGTTTCCACAAACTATGCTAGGGTACATGGGCAAAGGGGGGAGGGAGGGGTGTAGGGGTGCGGTCGGTGGATGGGTGTGAGTGTAGGTGTAGTTGGTCGCTTCCTTGCCCCAAGTCTATGCCAAAAAGCTGAGCTGTCTTTGTATTTTCACTTTGCTTTTCAAATTGTTTGCAACTTTACTTCGATTTCATGCCACACACACACACATATATATTATATATATATATATATATATATATAAGTACGAGGGCATGCTGTGTGCGAATATTTTTCCAAGTTATTTTAGTTGAAAACAATTTTTATATTTCTTTACAACTTTTTCTCAAGCTCAAGCCCTTTGCCTTGCCTTGCTCTGCAGATTGTCGCTGCTGTCTGCTTTTGGCATTGTTGCTTGTGTTGTTGCTGTTGTTGTTCTGCTGTTTCAAGGATTGTCGAATTGTATGTATATTTTTGTATGAATGTTCGTATTTGTGCAGCCGACGCTTTTTAGTTAAAAGTTTATCAATAAAATTATGACAGAAAACTTTTTAATTTGACGCATAATAGTCGGCGGAACATTCCAAATGCGTTGCGGGACATTTGTGGCACGTCCAAAATACATCAGCCAATACAATACATAAGTATATAAGTAAACAAACAAAAAATATTAAGAGGAGAACAATAAATACACACGAAAATATAAAACAATAACCAGGAATTAAACCACTTCAAGTAGTCATCAACTAAGCAATAATTGTTAAAACAGGCACATTGCTGACACATCACAGAAACAACTATCGGAGGCACTTTCTGGTCGCTGCCCGAACTCAGCCCTTCAGGCTTTTGATTTTGTTCTTCTTCTCCACGGCCAAGCTGTTCGCAAATTGTTTGTCCGCCTCTGCCTTGTACTCCTTCAAATTATAGTGTGTTGCCTGCGAAATAGATAGATAGGAAGGATGCCTTTCATGCACCAGATAAAAGCGATGGTATTAACTTACATTCAGTGCCTCACGGAACTCTGTTTGAGTCAAGCGCTGAATACCACGAAAGTTGCGCCCCAGGATTCGGCCCAGCTCGTAGCGTGAGATTTTATAGGCCTCTGTGGTTGTGGTGGGGTCCTCACTGCTGTCGCCATCCTCGCTACTCAATGCCTGGATGGGATGGGCGAAATGTCGCAGAAAAAAAATGTCAGCGAGTTAATCTAAGAAATACAATTGCCCTCCATTTCAATTATTAACCCCGAAACTTGTGATCTTCTCTATAGGTGTCCAAATTATCAAATTATAATTCAATGCCTCATCAAACATGTTCCTAAAATTACATATATCCCTAAAAATTATATCTCAAAACTGTACACGTCGATTAAGAGCGCACACTAAATTCTAAATAATTGCATATTTACGTTTATTGAAATGTAAGACGCATCTAACATTATACTCCCGATACAATTACATTAATTAGCCCATCTGATGCACTCACCAAACGTTCTGTTGTACTCCGCGGTCGATTCGTGGGCTTAGCGGGCGCAGGATCGCTGAATTGCTCATTGACAGTGTTGTAAATGTCGTTGAGAGTGTTGCGTGTGTCCGTATATTGCTGTGAGGAATCGAAGAACAGTGCTCCAAAATCATAATGCATACACGTTTCTCACATCCCCACTACTCACATCGACAATCAGATTCTTGGTGATGAACATTTTCTGAAAGAAGTCCCAAAATATACCGCGCTTTGTGCGTATCCTGGGAACACTGGACAGATCCGAGCCAGTGCTCTGTGAACTCAGCTGGGCATCTGTTCCGATTTCCAGCATAAGAAAGCTGCCTAGCAGCATTAGAGGAAGCAATAATTGCCATTTGGTTGAGCTTCTCCTCAGCATTCTAAGCTGAAAATAGGAATTTGATTTAAGCCCCAATGTTCGTGTTCGTGTCATCCACTCCAATCATTCTTATTAATATGATGTTTAAAATTGAAAAAGTAGGGAATCCGCAATTGTGTGTGTGTGTGTGTGTGTGTGCGCGCGTATGTGTGTGTGTGTGTGCGTATGTGTGTGTGTGTGTAGACAGCATTATGTAATTAATGCATCGATCAAATGCATACAAGTGAAAGTTGCCCAGAAGTGAAGAGAAGCGGCAGCAGCTAGGGAAGGAAATGGCGAATTGGCTTCTGTTCGCGAACTCGCGACGTCGTAAATAAATCATAAACAGCGACAGTGGCAGCAACAAATGCATATAAAAACAACAACAACAACAGCGAGCACGTCCATGACAACCAAGCAACAATAACAATAGCAACAACAACTGGTTGCAAGGACAACACGCAATGGCATGTAGCTTAAGCGTCCACCTCCCCAACACCATTCCAAGTCAGCTTACCTGTTCCTACAACACTCCGTCCCTATTAGTTTGTTTGCTTTTTTTGGCCTTCTGTTTTTTTGTTTGTTGTTATTGTTGTTGTGTTTGTAATGCGCATAATTAGCAAATTACAAAAGTATCTTAATGCATTTTTAGAATTTTATTGCATTTTGACCAACGTCGGTCCAGAAAAACAAAGAAGAATGCATTAAAATGCAAATTTATTTATTTGGTTTGGTTATTGTTGGCAGGATCCTGTCGCCCTTTCGCATTGTAACATGAATTTAGGCAATTAAAGTTGAACAACAAAGTCAATTGGCAGTTAATAGAAATCAATTGCCAGCCAAATATCATCACCAATAATACTATACAAGTATACCCATACATACAATATGTATTATTGACATTATTTCGATGCCAATGCAAAGCCGCAACATTTGTGGAAAATGGGCAACAATGATGGGCAAAGGTGGAAAAATAAATTATTTAAAAGGGGAGGCAGCAATGCAAGTGTGTGTGTGTGTGTGGAATATAATTCAAATAAAATGGCTTCTATGTCCACTGTTTCTTTTCTTAGGCAAATGTCTTGTCTAAGCTTCTTCTCTCTGTTAAGTTTTTCTTTTTTTATCGGTAGATCTATTGACGCCTCTGACCACACATGGCTGGCAAAGAATATTCCCCCACCGGGTCGGAGGCGTTAATTATATATTATTGTAATTTGATTAGATTTCTCCTTCTTAGGCTTTTCTTTTTATAATTTTGATGTACTATTTCCTATGTCGACAGTCAAAGTTTGTTGACATAAATAAATAAATAAATAAAAACAAGAAAGGAATGCTAAAGTCGAGCAGGCTCAACTCTTAAATAACCTGTACCATCCCACCAAAAAAAATGTATTCTAAAAATTTAATTAATTAATTAAATTAAATATAAAATATTCCATACGTGCATGCATACATTTACATTCACATCAGAATCGGGTCTATTCAACCTATTAGAACCTATCTAATCAACGTATAGAAATGTATTATATTTCTGTTTTTAAATCGTTATATTAAGATAAGATAAGATAAAATAAGAGTACGGCACCACTACTGGTGCCAAACAAAAAAATGCATGCTTCTGCTTTTAAATCGTAATACAAATCCAAAGGTTTTGGGTACAGTTTTAAAAACCCGCTAGTGGTGCCGAACCAAGAGAAACTAAATATACTTCGTGAATCAAATGACTTTGTTAGTAGTTAAAAGATATTGAGAGCAAGAGGAAATAATGTTCTTTCCCTGATATTGTTAGTCAGAAGACAAATTCTTGGGACATGTTCTTGGTATGTAATATCTTAAATGAATGATCGCCTCTCGCCAAATTTTACTAAATACATGCCTTCAACGTCGTCATTTAATAACCACCGAAACACATCCATCCACACTATCTGGACAACACCAACAGTAACCCCCCCAGGACGCCTCTCCCCGACGGCGACCGGTGGCAGCCCCACCACTGGGATAAGTCGTATCTGGCCAATCACCAGTTCGATTGGCAATTCACTGTGTTTATTCGCACACGTGCGGTTGTGCGAATCGGCAGGACGATCGTGGTCCTGAGAGTTAATTTAAAGAGTTTAATTTAAAGGACGCTAGTTGTCCCAGTGGGCCGGTTTGATATTTGGGTGGACACTCGTGGTCCGTTTAATTAAAGGCACTTGTGGCCCTGCTGCTTCAGTGGACCCTTGTGATCCAGCAGGTGCGAGCAACACCGGTTGTCCTGGTTGCGCTTGAGTGAAACGACGCAGGACGTTTGCAGTGACCAAGCATATCGGATGGCAATCCTTGAGAGCATGTAGTTCAACGAGGTACTCGGCGAGATAAAGATCAGTGGTTCCCGTATTGACCCAAAGTAGCAAGCCGTTCGTTGATAATTTCCATACTGATTTTATTCTTACAAATCATGGCTTATACTTGTATAGCCATGCTTAAAACTACCTTATGACTATTTACATTTACCATTTCCATGTGTTGTCGGTTTCACAATAATGATGCGCAAGCATATATTATGAGGTGTCAGCTTAATTTGGCTTATAGATTTATACATATGTGCAATGCACGGAACTATGACCTGTATCTGATTGATGGTATTATGCTGGGGTAGCAGAATAATGTGTGTCTTATTCTTGTTTATTATTATTGCTTATGTGGGCTTATGTGCAGAGTATGGTGCCAATATTATCTATGCTAAAACAATATGGGTGTATAGGTTTATGTGTACTTATATGTATGTGATCTTGTGTATCATACAATGTTTATTATTGATAACGATAACCAATATATATGATATAGCTTAAAATAGGAATATAAGGTAAAATGATGATGGCGAATATTAGCATATGCAGCTAAGGCATTCTGGTTCGACGGCTGACTTCTCTGACGGCTTCTCTCTGCTTCTTCTTCTGACAGCTGACTTCTGCTTCTTTCTTTACGGCTGCCGACTGTGTTTGTAGTGCGGCTGACAACTTACTACTGACAACTAAGTACACTTCTACTGACTGCTTAAAACCAAAATGAGTACCGAGTTCTGATGGCGATGCTGCTTCTAGGTGTTCCACCGTTCTCACTATCCTGCCTTCCCATCTTACATGTATGTTATGTGTTGCCAAGCTATTTTATTGAATGTCTGTTTGCGTCGCGTTGATGAGACGTCATATATGTACTCATTCGAACGTGAGAACTCTAAAAGGAATCATCCAGGCTAGCACAATTTGAAGGAGAAATGGACCTGGCGACGGACCACCATTCAGGAATTATCCCACGAGAACATCACATGGGACACAGCTAGCCAGAAATAGAGTTAGATGGAAAGTACTTGCAGAAGCCCTAAGCTCCCAAGTGGAGTAAATAGGAATAATAACAACAAAAAATATCTTAAATGAAGGGAAGAGGAAAGGGTCTTGGTGCCCAACACACATTTCGACACTACTTATTATTACTGGAATTAATTTTCTCTTTTAAACTGAACAACATTTGTAATTTTTAAGTAGGAGCTATGTGATTTTACCAATTGTTGGGGGCAATTGAATGAATGAATTCATGAATGTATACTTGCTCATAAATGCACATACATACTTAAATACTTGTATATGTGGATTGGAGTCTCCAACTGCAAGGCTCTCGTGTGGGTGCAGACAGACAAATGCTTTTGACTATGTGTGTGAGTGACGCTTTGTGTGGAACATATACCAGTACGTGTATACAAATACAACTATAAATATACATAGTATGTGTGTAGACACAGGCATTTGAATGTATGTGTGAGCGTTAGCCAACAAATCGCTGAGCCAGATTAAACAAAGTGCATTGCAACAAGCCAATATGTAGCAAATACTACGCCAAACTGGGGCTATCGGTCAGTTCCTACCATAAATTAAACATTTGAATAGTTTGAGATGAGAGAGTGTTGGTGAGAAACCGGATAACAGAAAATGCAGATCAAGAGAAACCACGAAAACCGAAGCTCAAAACAATTGTAGTGTACATGGAAATAAAGCAAATCAGTGTGCAATGAATGATGATAAAACAAGAATGAAAAGATAGAGTCGTGCGGCCCAATTCTTAAAACCATTCAACCATTAATTTAAATTATTTCCATTAAGCTTTTTGATCATGTAGTCTACCGATGTTGACAAAACTTCAGATCATGAAGAGATATTATAAAAAGTTCATAAGGGCGGAAAAATCTCTGTATGCAAAGGGATTAATATACAGTGGTCTGTCGTGTTATTTACATATGTACGTTTAACATGGGAGTTGTCTAAAACTTCTCCTCAAACTTCTTAAACATGTCCTGCTAATGGGAATATAGTTTGTATACCAAATTTGATCATTCAGCTTTCCTCGATTGTCGCCTTCTTGCTAGTCTCATCAGAGCACTATGATACTGTATAGAGGCTATATACACTACTATGAATAGTACTATCTTATCGCTACTTGTGCTCCATTTCAGCTTTGCTTGGCAAACTGTTCAGCCTCATCTCGTGTTGGGCGGCAGGGTGGCCGGCAGGCGCCGTTGAAATACGCGTACGCACACATAGTTGTACTTGCGTACCTTTATGCTGTGCTGCGGTTGCGGTCGGACCGCACACAAATACAACATAACCATTTGGTACATGTGCTAACAAAACTGTTAATCAAAATTGATAAGGTGCGCTTAAAGGGCTCAACGGGACCGTGCTGCGGGTGGTTTATATGTAGCTGACCCTGCCCCGACCCGCATAAGGCAAATAGCCACATGGCGGCAATAGGCACAGGATAGAATGACTGGCAGACTGACAATCTGACAATCTGGCAGTCTGGCAGTCTGACTGACGGACACCATTAGCTGTCTAAGCTGCGCTGGCAGCAGCATCGGCATCGTGTTCCCCACATTGCGCATACGCCACGTGTACGCCAATGTTCCCTTGCAGTTTTCAGCTGAGCTCACGAGTGTGGGACTGTGGGTGTGTGCTTTTGTTTTTGACACACTAATT